TATTTCTTTTAATGGTATCCCACATTATTCTCAAGCTTTCTTTTGTTTCCTTCTTTTTGAATTCTGCTTTTTTCTCAGTCAGATCTGTGGTGACAATTCTATCTTCTATTTCACTGATTCTGTTTTCCACCCCTTCTCCTCTATTCGTATGTCCCTCCATCATGTTGACAGCATCAGAAACCTTAGATTTCAAATTCTGGATCACAGTTTCTTGTTTTTCCAATGCCTCTAATGCTTCATTTGTTTTCTCTGCTTTATTTTGGATTTTTTTTTAAGCTCCTGTTAAGTTTCTTTTGAGTTGACCTATCCTTTGGTGAAAGTGATGTGTCTAAATCTCCTACCACTATTGTGGAACTGTCTATTTCTTTCTTGTTTTATGTATTTAGCAGGTTTATAATTTGGTGCATAGATGTTGACCAATGTTATGTATTCTTGATCTACTGTGCCCTAAATTACTATATAGTGCCTTTCCTTTCTCTTTTATGGGGATTTTCATTCTGAAGTCTATTTTATCAGAGATTAATATTGCCACGCCTGCCTTTGTGTGGATGCTATTTGCTTGGTATATTCTTTCCAGTTTTTATTTTGAGTCTATCTTTCTCTTTGCTTATTAGATGTGTCTCTTGTAGACAACATATTGATGGGCTTTGGCTTCTTAACCATTCTGCTACTCTTTTTCTCTTGATTGGTGCATTTAGCCCATTCATATTAAGTGTGATTATTGACAAGCTGAGATTTATTGTTAACATTTTTCTGTTTTGCTTTTTTTGTTGTTTCTTGTTACTATGGTCCATCTACTTTCCTTTGGTGTCACTGTGTGAAGGACTTCCCTTACAACTTCTTGTAGATTTGAGTTTCCAGAGGCAGTTAATTGCACAGGAGGAGATTGCCCATCCTTCTCCCAGAGAGTAGCTGTTGGATTTGAACCATGTGCCACTGGGACTACAGTGCAGCTTCTTGCCCTTAGGCCACAAGCGCATTAGGAACAGGCTTGGGCTGGTTTAGAGAGAGGGTCTTATGATCAATAATATGACTAGTGAGTCTTTGCAGCTGGAAATTAGAGATGCTAGTGAGAAATTATGGAAATTAGGCTGTCACAACCTGGTGCTTTACTCCAATTCAAACTAAATGGAAAATATGGTTTGGAGGCAAGATTACAATAGTCCCTCCAGAAATTCTAATAGCGCCCAATGGGACAGTGAAGCTATATCTACAGACACAGTCACTAAGCGAGATCAATGTTATCTGCAAACTTATACTTTGCTTTACCCAGGGCTTCTCTGTTTTATAACCAGTTCTTCATTTTCAACCCTGGGATTGTTTGTTGTGTCTCTCTGATAGCATAGAAATTGTATGATGAATTGTGGATTCACTCGGCTTGAGGCTTTGATGTCCCCCACTTCCCTTTATTGCCACTAGTATGAAGGCTAAGAGTAATCTTACAGAAGCATAAACTGGATATTTTTAAATGCCATAAAATGAAACAGGAGAGCTAGAATTCTTTTTTTTTTATTTTTTATTTTATTTATTTTAATTTTTTTTTTTATTTTTGTGTGTGTGTGTACCGTCAAATCAGATCTCACTGGTACAGGAGGAGATCGTCCCTCCTTCCCCGGCAGAGCATCTGGTGGATTCAAACTGTGCGCCTCTGGGATTGAGACCTAGAATTCTTGAAGGTAGCAGGCAGTGAGACAGAGGCAGGAACAGTTGCTGAGAGACAATGGAGTATTATGCCATGTGCATAAACGGTGCTCACAGTGACCCTGAATACTAATCAACGGAGAGAGTCCAGCACCAAATCCCTGATGTGAGATTACCAGATTAGTGAGTTAGAAACTTATTGGGAGTCATCACTGCCAGCAGAGAATTGCAAAACTGCTGGTAAAAACAATAATGATTTCAGGGGTGGACTGAGAAAAAAACAGTATCTTTGTAAGATTCTGAAATCTTTGTAGGAATAAAGCTGGAAATGACTCCATCATACCTCTCAGTCTGATTTGCTGACCATCTTTCTGCCCTTATTCCTTCATTTCCTCCAGTTATGAATTATTACTAAAACAATTATGGGGGGGAAAAGTTCTTGTAGATTTTTTTGGTTTTGTTTTCTTCACAAATTCCTTAAGTTCTTTCTTTTTCTGTAAAGAATGTGATTTCTCCTAATATTTGATGGAAAGCTTTGCTGGGTACAGGATCCTTGCTTGGCAATTGTTTTCTTTCAATGTTCTTTATATGCCATCCCACTGTCTTCTTGCTTGCATGGTTTCTGCTGAAAAATCAGACCTTAATCTAATTGCTTTTCCTTTGTAGGTGGCTCTTTGTTTTTCTTGTGCTGTTTTCAGTATTCTATCCTTCTCTTTTATTTTGGAGAATTTGACTATGATATATCTTCATTTTGGGTTCTAGTCTATTTGGTATTTGCTGAGCTTTCTGAATGTGGATTTCTCTGTTCTTCATAATACCTGAAAAGTTTTCTTCTAGTACCTCCTTCACAATTTTCTCAGTGACTTCCCTATCCTTCTCATATTTTGGAATTTCAACCATCCATTGTTATTCCTTTTGATGTTATCCCACATGATTGTAATATTTTCTTCATATTCTTCATGTCTCATCTCTGATTTTTCTTTGAGTATGTTTCCACTGAGGTTCTGGTCTTTCAGCTCACTGACTCTCTGCTCCATCTCTTCTATTCTACTGTTTTGTCCTTCAAGTATGTTGGATACTTATGCTATTTCAGTCTTAATATTCTGGATTGCATTTTCATGCCTTTCTGTTATTTCTAATATTATGTTGGCAGTACTCTATATTGTGATGATTTTTTTAAGTTCTTATTTCTTCTGTAGCTGTTCAAATAATTCTTCCTCAATATATAATTTTTTCTGGTTCTCTACCTCTTGGTTATTCCCTTTATTTTTTTACTTCCATTGTTTGTTTCTGCCATCATTTATATTTTCATTTGTAGCTGTTCTAATGTCTCTATATTAACATATATAATCTGCCTTCTTGACTCTGGGATATTCATGAGGTCTCTGATATTATCTGCTTTTTTTTGAGAAGGCTTAATTTGTTTTTTTTTCACAGTATTTGAAGCTGCCTTATGCTTTCTTGACATTATATGAAGTTCTTCTTGATAAATGTTAGGTCATTTCTACTGTGTCTGTGAAAATTGTTGGTGGTTCTTGGATTTGTAATGTTACTAATTAGTTGCCAAGTTAAAATATTCACTCTACTGTAAGTCCTTTCTGGGAAATTTTGCCTTTCCTAAAGTCCTTGATGTTCTTTCTGTTCTGCACTGCAGCCCTATAGAAATCTCACCTTGATGTAGTCCCCTGACACCAACTCTATAGGTTTCATTCATCAGTGAAGTGACTGAGTAGTGTGAGACCAGCTGCTCTTCTCAAGCAGTTTCGTCTCTGGCGTGGTACAAGATTATAGATCAGGGCTGCTAGCTCAAGCAGCTTGTTTGCAGGGAGTTTCAAGTCAGCTTCCTTTCTCTCTCCCAGAGAACTATGAATATTCTTTTCTCTGCTTAAAATTCTGTATACTAAAGTCTTTTGTCCCACTTGGCCCAGAGAATGGGCCTGCAACCTCAAAGGCAAGGACTCCCAGATAGAGGGAATTATAACCCCAGGGATGCCTCAGGTCTGTCTCCCCACAAGCAATGGGGAGTGCTTGCTCTAGGCACACAGCCTCCCCTCCCCTCACCCTTTCTCCCGCAGGTTAATGTTCTCCTTTGGCTCTGGTGTGGTGGATGAGCAGGATGGCTCCCTCAGGCAGCTTGCTGGTAGAGACTTGCAGGTCAACCCTCTGTTGCAGAAAGCTAAGAAAATTCTTTCCTCTGCTTTGAGTTCTGTATACTAAAGTCTCTTGTCCTGCTTGGCCTCTGGGATGGCCCCACAGCCATGGAGGCAAAGACTCCAGATGGAGGGACCTATAACCTCAGGTATGCCAGTTCTGTTTCTTCCTAAGCAATCCATAGGCATTTCTTGACTTTCAGCTTTGAAAAAACAGCTTCCTGGGCTCTTTTCTAGGTAGTTGTTGTGTTGGTTTGAATTGCCAACCTTTATATTAGCAAACTTGCTTGTGATCCATCCAGACTTATAATTTCATAATGACCACATATTTCAAACACCCGTGATAAGATATATGAAAATGAAATTATTTCTTCCCCAATTTCCTAAAAATCTTCCTGTACTTCATGTAGGCTAAATTAAAAACAACCATGGCTGTGGAGGTGGAAACTCCACATGGTAGCTGACCTTACAGGGAGTTTTCAGGGGCTGTAGATTGCACAGGAGAAGACTGCCCATCTTTCTGCCCTAGATACTTTGGTGGATTCTAATAATAATCTAAGTGCAACCTTTGGTTTAGCAACACAACTCTCTAATCGGTCATGCCAAAAAAAGAATATTGGAATGAGCTAAATTCATCTCTTACCTTAGAATGGTGACATTCTCCTTCATGTTCCAAATTCCAAGTAAAAGAATAACAAAGTTTTTGGTATCACCCAAGTCATTCAGTTGATAGTTGCTCTGTCCAAAAATTTCAGTGCTTTTGTCTGTTTGCATAAGTTTCCCCAACAAAGTTTATACTTCTCTGTGGATCTTAAGCCCATTCTTTTCTTTCAATGATTCAAAATTTTTTTTTTGCCAAATCTTATGGCTTTCTATGCCTTTCTTTCCATTTATTTTAAAAATAATTTAATATATATCTACGTCTTAACCCAATATGAATGAAATAGTACCAATAAAATTATGACGAAACAAAACTTTTAAGTGAGATGTCTATGTTTCACTGATCACCTCTGAGTAGGACTTAGTCTAAACTATGATCTGATTCTAACCTTAAGATACCTTGTGTCTTTCTGAGTTACTTTTCTGAGTTTTCTGAGGTACTTTTCAGTACCTAAGATGTTGATTTGGCACTGTGAAAGTTCGATTGTCAATTCACTAGGTATTGAGAACTCTAGTTTTTTTCTCCTTCCTGTTTCTCTATGCAGTTTTCTATCTGTGCCATGGCAAACATTTCACCAATGTTCTTTTCACAGCAGCCTTCACATCCTTATTTTTCAGGCTGTAGATCAGAGGATTTACTAGAGGAGTGACCACACCATATTGAATAGAGAAGATCAACTCCAAAGGGGAGCCTGATGTTGGCATGAGATAGCGAAGTGAAGCAGATCCATAGAAGAAGCTCACTGCAGTGAGATGGGAGAAGCAAGTGGAGAAGGCCTTGCTTCTGCCAGCGTTGGAGCTGATACTCAGGATGGTGGAGACAATGCGGGTGTAGGAGAATACAATCAGGAAGAACGTACCAAAACCATGCAAAAGTACAGAGATGCCGAGGACAATGATGTTATTGGACACATCAGAGCATGACAAAGAGAAGAAAGAGGGCAGCTCACAGCTATAGTGGGGGATTGTATTGGCTTCACAGAAATTCAGTTTCATAACTGGTGGAATGTTGATAACTGCATCCAAAAACCCTACACTCCATGAAACACATAGCAATTTTTCACACAACTGGTGGCTCATCATCTGGTTATATAACAAAGGGTAACAGATGGCAGTGTAACGATCATAGGCCATGACAGTGAGTAGGATGATTTCTGTTCCTCCAATATCGAACAAAAAGAAAGCCTGAGTCAGGCAGCCCTCAAGTGAGATGGTTTTCCTTTTAGACAGCAAGTTCTCCAGAAGCTTGGGCAAAGTGACTGAAGAGAAACAAAGGTCCAGAAAAGAGAGATGACTTAGGAAGAAATACATGGGTGTGTGGAGTTGAGAATCAACCCTGATCACAAACAGCATCATAAAATTCCCCATCAGAGTCATGAAGTAAATTCCTAGGAAGAGCACAAAGAGCAGAGCTTGGACTTGGGTATCAGCAGACAGACCAAGGAGGATGAACTGTGTGATGGTGCTGTGGTTCCTCAAAGCCATTTAGAGAGGATGTTCTCTAGAAATAAGTATAGGGAAACACCTGAAAGCTCTGTGACTATACCAACAACTATAGCAAGAACTGCAATTTTTATGTATCTATGTTGAATGACTTGATTTTATGTATGCCCTCACTGTCTGTCTAGAGTCCTTCCCTATTAGTGGTCTACTTCAAACTCACTATGCTCTTTCCATATTATTATTATAAATGAAAGTCTACAGAAGAAAGGAATTTATTAATTTATAAAGGCTTTGTCCAAGAATAACCTTTTCTGTCTCCTTTAAGTGAGCATTGCTTTTTAGCACTATTTGGTGTATACTTATAAAGTAGATGGTACCTGATGTGTTAGGGGGAAATTTCAGTATTTGTTTCCTCTACTGTTTGTCAGTCTGTTCTATTTCCATTTCAGTATCCTCGTGAATTTTATTATTGCTTAACTATAGTATTTCTTTTTTCCTTGGCTTTATATTTATTCTATACTACTTTTTAATTGTGTTTTGAGAGAAATTTTGTGAAGTAGATTGGTATTTCATGCTTTCTTTAGATTTTTTATTATTGACATGACATTTTAAATACAATTGAGCTTTTGTTTTGGGACAAGTGTTTGTGAACATCTTGGATATAGGAAAAATGAGAGAGATATATTTTTTATGTCTTTTCAAAAGATAAAATTAAGCACCAAAACCTATGCAACTTGCCAAATCTGTATTTTCAATATTCATTATTTAACTAAGATCTGTAAACTCCTAATACACAGAATCTTTATTATATACAGTGCCTTCCACTTAAAGTTTGCCCTTCCAGTCCTCCATCACATATGGTGTTTTAATAGACAACTTGAGTTCACTTTCTGATATGTTTTGGGCATCAGTCTTGAGAACACATTGTTCTACAAAAAGTTTCTGGATAATGAAAATTTGAATTACAAATGGCTCTTATTTTCCCTTTCATATTATATAAATTTGCTCTCAACACAAAGAAAACAATGATTCTCGCAAATGGACCAATAAACAACACCATTATAGATAGAGATTTGAAACTGTCAAATATTTCCTTTTACTTGGATTCACAATCAATACCCATGGAAGCAACAGACAAGAAATCAAAAGATGTATTGCAAAGCTGCACTGCAGTCCTGAAGCTGCATCCACCAGATGCTCTGCTGGAGAAGGAGGGACAATCTCCTCCTGCGCTAGTTGGATCCCATTTAACAGTACAAAACAAGGGGAAAAAGAGGGGTGGGGGAGATGTATTGTGTTGAGAAAAATCTGCTGCCAAGAACATCTTTAAATTGAGAGAGAGCAAGATTGTCACTTCAAAGACTAAAGTGTGCCTGATTCAAACCATTGTGTTTTCAATTGTTTCATATTGAAGAAATTGTTTCATATGAAAGCTGGTCAATGATTAAGGAAGATCTAAGAGTTTTTGCTTTTGAATTGTAGTGTTAGTAAAAAATATTGAAGATACCGTCAAAAGAAAACCTACTTAGGAGGTAGGAGGGTAGATATGTTTCCTCAGTCCAGTCCCTGGAGAAGGACCTCATGCTTGGAAAAGTAGAGGGTCAACTAAAAAGAGGAAGATTCTGAATAAGATGGATCGACACATTGACTGTAACAATTGGTTTAAGGCAGGCAGAAACTGTGAGGGACTTGCAGTATTGGGTAGGGTTTCATTCTGTTATACATAATGGTTGTCATGAGTCAGAGCTAACATGACAGCACTTAGCAACAACAACAAAACAACAATAAATCTTTAAAGTAGTAGAATACCATGCATTTCTCCCACAGTGTGGCTGGCAGTTTCAAATTGTGGACCTTTTCAGTTAGTAACTATTCAGTTAACTGCTTAAACATTAATTCTTGAACCAATCTCTATTCACAACAAATGATTTACCATAATCAGTTTCATACACTGCATATGCAACTTCGTAATCACTTAAAGGACTTAGAATCTTTTCTTATACCAATACAATAAAAATATCAAACACATCACCATAGAGATGACTTGACTAAGGAAGAGCATTTATCAGGTTTCAAGGTTATAAATCTTAATGAGAAGAGATTCTGCACTCTTCTCCCAAAAAGTGGTTGGTGAGTTTCGACTGACATTTTGGTTAGTAGACCAGTATTTAACTTACTTTGCCAACAATGTTCTTTTCTCTTAAAGTAAGGTTCATTATGAACTTTATATACTTGTTCTGATGTATCTACAAATTCTACTTAGGAGTGAATATCATTAATAATCCTGGAACTTCTCTTCCTGTACTTGTTCAAAACACTCTAACATGTTTGGATGAGCATCTTTTCTGTTTAAAATGTTCTGCCTTCCTTCTCACTCACTTATTTAAATAATTATTATCTGATTTCCATTCTAATTTTCACCTGTTTATGAGATCTTCTGTGATCATTTTACTCTATGAACTCAAAGAACACATAAATAAGATAGCTATATTAGAAGAGACTGTGGCACCACAGATAATATTGTTGATGTCACATGGATCTCAATTGAAAGCAGAGAATATCAGAAGAACATATATTTGTATTTTATTGACTTTGTAAAGGTATTTGACTGGATCATGTCTAACCTTGAGAATAATGGAAATTCCAGAGTACTTAATTATGCTTATATAAAATCTATACCTAGACCAGAATGCTATTGTCTGAATAGAACACTGCCTGGTTTAAAATCGAAAAAGATATACATCAGGATTGTACACTTTCTCCGTACCTATTCAATCTGTATGCTGAGCAAATCATTCAAGAAGCTGAAGTTTATGAACAAAAGTGTGGCATCAGGGTTGGAGGAAGGCTCATCAACAATCTATGTTATGCAGATAACAAAACCTTGCTTACTCAAAGTGAGGACAACCTGAAAAGCTTGCTGCAGAAGATAAGAACAACAGCCTTCGATACAGATTACATCTCAGTATCAAGAAAACAAAAATGTTCTCCACAAGACCAATGTGTAACATCAAGATAGATGGAGAAAAGATTAAAATTATCAATTATTGTATCTTGTTGGATTCACAGTCAAACCTTTGGTATGAGCAGTCAGGAGATTGGGAGACATTGCATTGGGAAAATCTGTAGTCAGGGATCTCTCTAAAGTACTGAAGAGAGATATAAAAGTCACAAACCAAAGTACTGAAGGGTAATTGTGTCAGTTTTAATACCAAGGTGCCCTTGATTCAAGTCATGGTTTTCCTATTCATCTGCTATGCATCAGAGAGCTGGACAATGGATAAGGATGAGAGGAGAAGAATAGATACATTTCTATTGTGGTGTTGGGGAAGAGTGCTGAATATCCCATGGATAGCTGAAAGGTCAAACAGATATGTCTGGAGAAAGTGCAGCCAGAATGATCCTTGGAGAAGGATCACTGTTGGTGAAACTTCATCTCATATATTTTGGATATGTTGTTAGGAGAGGTTATTCCTTGGAAAAGGACATTATGCTTGGAAGAGTGGAGGGTCAGTGAAGGAAAGGAAGACCCTGAAAGAAATTTGATATAGTATCTGTGAAAATGAACTCCAATGTGTTGAGGATGATAAGAAAATACTACACCTTGGACCAGTCATATTTTGGTCTTTAAACTGACATAATTTCTCTTTAGCACTTTGAAAAGGTCTTTGACAGTAGATACTTCTCAGTGCAAAATACCTTTTGATTTTTTAAAAAAATACTGGTTTATTTACAAAGTTCATATACATTGTTTTTCATACCAGATCTTTTCCATTTCCTTCACCCCCATCTCCTTCCACCTATCAAATTGTGGGACCCTATGATAATTGATCAACCACGCCCATCCTTAGCCCTCTGCTCCTACTATTACCCCCCTGCTTAGATCCTCATACTCTTTCTACAATAATAGTCTTATACAATATTTGTCCTATGGGAGTGAGTTAGTCCAGTTAGCATAATGTTCTCCAGTCCCTTCCAAGTTAGGTGGTAATTTACAAAATCATTGCTCCCACATACTGCATAGTATTAAGTTGTGAGAATGTACCATAGTTTTTCAATCCATTCCAATGTGGTTGGACATTTAAGCTGTTTCCATGTTCCTGTGACGGTGAATAATGCTGCTGTGAACATTGGTGTACAAGTCTCCACTTGTGCCTCAGTTCTCATTTTCTCAGGGTATATTCCAAGCAGTGGAATAGCTGGGTCATATGGAATTTCTAAGTTCAGCTTTTTGAGGAAACACCAAACTGCCTTCAAGAGTGGTTGTACCATTTTACAATCCCACCAACAATGTATGAATTCCTATCTCACCACATCCTTTCTAACATTTATTACTTGTTGTTCTGTTCAATTTTGCCTCTGCTACTGGAGTGAGATGGTATCTCTTTGTGGTTTTGATTTGCAGCTTTCTAATTGCCAGAGATTTTGAGCATTTCTTCATGAGTCTTTTGGCCAGCCAAATATCTTCCTCCATGAAAAGACTTTTCAAGTCTTTCGCCTATTTTGTAATTGTGCTATCAGTCTGTTTCTTATGGAGGCCCTTTTGGATTCTGTAAACTTTTGATATGAGACCTTGTCTGAAATGATATATGCCAAATGTTTTTTTCCCCAGTCAGTAGATTTTCTTTTCATTCTGTTGGAAAAAGGTTTTTATGCACACAGACATTTAAATCTTTTAAAGGTCTCATTCATAATTTTGTTCTTTCCAGATTGTACATTTCTGATTGTATTTGGCAGTCTCTTTATATCATAGACTAGGCTGTCTAAGTTTGATCCCAGTTTGTCTCTGATGAACTTTATGGTTTTGGGCTTTACTCCCATGTTTCTGATCCACCTTGAGTTGATTTTTTTTTTGTATGGTATGAGATGTAGATCCTGTTTCAGCTTTCTGCAGGTAGCAGGCCAGTTTTGCCAGCACCATTTTTTTAAAGAGGTATTTTTCCCATTTCATAGGTTTTATTTCCTTCTTGAATATCATTTAACCATAGATAGCTGAGTCCATTTTTGGGTTATCAGTTCTGTTCCATTGATCTATATTCCTG